CAGTCTGCAAATGGATTTTGTTTCAAATTGCAACAAAGTGTTGCTGAATCTGAGTATTTCATCACTGCAGTCCCACACATTTGTTGACTGTATCAGATACTCAGTTTCTTAAAAATATAGAGGGTAAGAAAAACACCATTGGCAGAAATAACCAAACTTAATTCTAACAGACTTGGGAAAAGAGATCCTTTTATTTACTGCAGAAAGGCACTGAAAGATAGAAGATGGATAAACAGGACATTCTGATTCTAAGGAATAAAACCCCAGATGTCTACAAGGCACAGACAAAGGAACTGTATTTGTAACAAGCTTGAAAATTCATTTTACTCCAATGCAACATTTTCTGGAAGACTTACACAGATTGAAGTGAAGATATATCCTGAGGCATCAAGGTATAATCAATAGAATTGTATTTGTTACCAGCCTGAAAATTCATTTTACTCCAATGTAACATTTTCTGGAAGCCTTAAATAGAACTAAGTGAAGACATGTCCTAAGATATTTTTTTATTATTTTCTTTACCAACAGCAACAATAAAGCTTCTGTAAGGAAGAAACCCCTCCTGAGTTCAGCACACAAGAAAGTTTAGTCTTCAATTTACTGGATCTCTAAACTGTTGCTTGTCCCCCAGAAACTCCATTTTTCATTCTGCAAGCACAGCCTATGTTCTTCAAACATATATAAAAATTAATTTAATTTTTTGATTTTCTTCTGCTCCAGTGGGTTCCAGTTAGAAGAATTTTAGTATGGACATGCCAAAGCAAAGAACACAGTTGCATGAAAAAGCATTTTAATAGATTTCTAGTATCAATAACTTTTTTTTTCCTAAACACAGCAACAGCACATCCACATATTGGCCTCATCATTTTCTTAATCTCCCAGCACTGTCTTTCCTCTGCCTCCTCTGTCTTTTATTTACACAACTGCCATCTTCAGTTTCCTTTACATCTCTACCCCAGACAATGATACCCACCACACTCATACTGGGTACCCTGAGAGACCCCCGGCTCACAGTCTCTGTATCTTCCCTGTTCTGATGCTGGGCAGCTTTCAATAGCTCAGTAAATAAAGTTTTTGTTTCATTGGGTTTTACCTTTCTACAGGCTTTGCAAGTTTTGAGCCCAGTGTACTCTCAGTTGTCTCCTCTCTGTTTCTTTAACTCTGCATGCTGAAGCATTTTATGTTTACATTTTGAAAGGAAATGTGCAAAGCAAACATCTGCAATCCCATGGATAAAATAAGTTCTTATTTAATGCTTTGCCATATATGAAAACCAGAGTTGTTTCCAGTTGTTGCTTCTATTCCATAGAAAAGTGCAGACTATTGCCATCATCACATCCCACAGCTCATTGCATAATCTTATTTAATTCCAACCAGAGATTACCAAACCTGCCTCCATGGTTATTCTTCAGAGGCTGTTCCAGAGACTCCCTATTCTCATCACTGAAGTTGTCTTCTACTTCCACCTTTAATTTTCTTACAGCAAATTTATTCCATTTTTTCTTTTGTAAACAGTACGCTTAAACAGACTATCTTCCTCCCTGCTGCTTATCTCCCTCTTCCCAAACATAGTTCAGGCATAAACAGGTTCAAACAAGGATTAAACAGATTCACAGAGCCATCACTGCCAGCTATTAAACATAGCATCTACTTTTCAGAAAGGCCTTAAGCCATGGATAGATGCAAGAGTAAACCAGAGTCATAGGAGCTCTACATGCACATGTCTTATACCTCCACCTTGGGCTCCACAATATCCCTTTAGAAACATTCTACTGGGACAGACCTACTATGGCTATTTATACTTTTTTTGAAACAGTATCATTCCTGTGCTTCTCCTGTCCCACACCGCCAAGCCTCTCTTTTGAAAGATTAACAAACTCGTACCACCTTCTCTCAAGACAGTTTCATATTTTCCCCATTACTATTGAACTCTCTCCAGTACCCATCCCAGCCTGAAGTCTCCTTTCTTGAACATGGATAGCCAGAGCTGTCCTCTGCAGAAATATATTTCCTCTTAATCATTAGCTATTTTCCTCTGCTCTCCATAGCATTTTCCCCATAGCAGGATAACTCATCTCCATTGCAACATTATAACATCTTGGACATGCATCCCAATCAAGCCTGGACATACTTATCAGCAGCTCTTTGCTTAGTCACAAAATGGTTGCAACAAAGCCAAGGTGTCAATGATGCAATTCCTCAAATGCTATAAACTGTAAAGATCACCTTGCAACGCTCAAAGATAAATCCAGAAACGCTAAGCAACTGAGGAACAGAGATGTTTCACCAGTATCAGCTGTGTCTGATAAATAAGCCATTGCAAATAGCCCCAGTCCTAACTATGACCTATTTAAAACTCTGCACATATCAAAAGTACAAGGATAAACTACATCCATTTGGGGTCTCAAGATAAGCCATAAGAAAAACAAATGACATATGATTCACTGGTATCCCTTGCTGGATCATCCAGTCTAGCTTTCCCAAACAACTAGAGCCTGAGGCAGATGCAAGATTTGACTCTTTATATTCCTATAATCACTGACATGGATCTGCAGTAAGCCTGTTTTTATTTCCACAAACTTTTCTGATTCCTTAGACTTAGTCCATCAAGCTGGAATGCCAAGAAAATTAAGAGTGAACAGAAAGAGCCCCACTTTCCTACTCAAGATTTAACACATATGGCAGAAATTTATATTCCATTTAGACTAAGATATTTTGCTGTCATGTAGGAACATAAATTTGAGACCAAATCAAGACACTGTTTTACAAGCAAATAAAAATAATCTCACCAAGCCAGATGCCCACATTAATACTTTTTCTCTCTCTCTTTTTGCTCCCTTTAATCAAATTCCTTTCAAACTTCTCCATTGTTTGTGTAAGGTCTCATTTATTCTGCAAAGTCACAGCTCTTTGAAGAGCTCTTCTTTGAAGAGAGGGCTTAGTTTTTGAAGAGTGAATAAAAAACCCAACAAAATAAACAGAAATGCTAGCAGGAAGATGAAATACTGCCCATACACTCAAACAACACCTTCCTATCTGACCCATCATCTGTGCTGGCTCAGTCTCTTAAGTGGTTCAGCCATGAGACCCCTACCATTAAAAAGACAAAATACCTTGCCAGTCTGTACTTGGTACAGAGAATCCAAGCTAAGTCCATGGACTCTATCCCCTAAGCAGGAACCCAGCGCTGCTCTGAAGAGCTTAAAACAGTAAAACAGGCTGATGGTTAAAACGAGCAACCTGACTGGGATACCATGGCAGGCGGGACAAAACAAAAGCCAGAATATCCAGCCTAGTACCCTATTCACCCTGTCCACTGTCTCTCTTCTATGCAGGGTATGTTAGCAAATACACCACCCAAGCTGACACTAAGAGAGATTAAATATTACATGGCTTAAAACCAAATAGATGTGAAAGAGTCAAGAATTAAACCTTCTTCTAAAGCACATCAAGCACAATGTTGGAAGGAAGTTCTGCGTCAGTGGAGCTGTCTGCGTTCACGGGACAGTGGGGAGAGGTTTAGCCCAATTGCACCTTTTCAGAAAATACGCACTCATTTTAATAAATGCAGCTTCACTGATCACTGAGGTATCACCTATACATTTAGGAAAGCTCTAGTAAGACTTTTGGAACAGCCACGCTCCACTGGCCACTACTCACTCTGTAAGCAGTCAGCATTGAGCAAGTCTTGGCACTTCTCATGGCACTTGACTCCACATTCACCGCAGCGCATTCCCTGCCGTGCAATACCCCACAGCAGCCCCTCACACTCATAGCAGTAGGTAGGAGTTGTGGCTGTCCACACTTCAAAGTTGTGCGGGGTTGTACAAGAGATGGGGTAAATTAAGGCTTGCAAGGTCTTCTTATAGACATGAGCTTTCTGAAAGGCAAGAGCACACATAAACCAACATCCAGGAAGGCAACTGAACCTGTTTTTGCTGGTTAACACACGAGTTTTAAGGGAAAAGGCATGAGCGGTCCAATAAATCTACACATTTGAGGTAGCCAAATTTACCAAATTTTTACAAGCAGCAGCAGAGGACACCCTTCCAAAACCATTTCTCCAGGCATTTAAAAAAGTGGAGGAGATGGAAGGAAAGAATTAAGGTTTGTGGATGAGGGATATCTTGCATAAAGGAAGTTTCACACACTATTCCCCATGGTGGATAGCACAGAAGAAAATGGTAAGATTACATTTTTCAGAATCATATTGACACATTAAATGTTATTTTTTACATGTTTGGTTTCTTTAAACAAATATCAAGCACAACTATAGGCTAGGCAAGGAACAGATTGAAAGCAGCCCTGAGGAGAAGGACTTGGGGGTATTGATTGATGAGAAGCTCAACATGAGCCAGCAGTGTGTGCTTGCAGCCCAGAAAGCCAACCGTGTCCTGGGCTGCATCAAAGGCAGCGTGACCAGCAGGTTGAGGGAGGTGATCCTGCCCCTCTACTCCGCTCTTCTGAGACCCCACCTGGAGTACTGTGTCCAGCTCTGGGGGACCCAGTACAGGAGAGACATGGAGCTGTTGGAGAGAGTCCAGAGGAGGGCCATGAAGCTGATCAGAGGGCTGGAGCACCTCTGCTATGAGGACAGGCTGGGAGAGTTGGGGTTGTTCAGCCTGGAGAAGAGAAGGCTCAGGGGGAGATCTAATTGCGGCCTTCCAGTACCTGAAGGGGCCTACAGGAAAGCTGGAGAGGGACTGTTTATCAGGGAGTGCAGTGACAGGACAAGGGGCAATGGGTTCAAGCTGAAGGAGGGTCGATTTAGATTAGATGTTAGAAAGAAATTCTTTACTGTGAGAGTGGTGAGGCACTGGCACAGGTTGCCCAGAGAAGTTGTGGATGCCCCATCCCTGGAAGTGTTCAAGACCAGGCTGGATGGGGCTTTGGGCAACCTGGTCTAGTGGAGGATGTCCCTGCCTGTATCAGGGGGGGTTGGAACTAGATGACCTTGAGGTCCCTTCCAACCCAAACCATTCTATGATTCTATGATAAATGATACAAGAAGCTTTGCATCTATATTTTAAGACATCTGTGAAGCTCGCTCTGCATCCCAGAGAGCCAAATTCCCTTAATTTGCTTACTAAAAGTTAATAGGAGCCAAGCAACCCTCCCACTTACCAGCTCTTCATCTTTGAGAGATGTTCTAGTGGCCATTGCTGAGGTAATTCCGGCTTTCCGGGACTGAACCAGTGACTAAGAAGGAAGAAAAATTATTATTCACCACCAACATTCAGAAATGCACTGGCACTATATGCCCAGGGATGTGACCAAGGGGACTCTGTCATCCTAGACATCAAACCAGCAGTCTATTGCATTCCAGTTGGTTTCTTAAATGATAGCTCACTTCTCAGAAGAGTCAAATGCATACTCTGAAAGGTCTCCAACTCATTTCCATCTGCCCACAACCAGTCTCACTCTGGTAAACTTTACTGTTTCTCTGGTAAGATCTGTCAATGAAACCTGGGTTCACATCTCCATTTCCGTGTTCTGGTAGCAATGGTAACCTTGCTATTGCCTAAGATCACTACACGGGACTCACTCTTCTATATCTAACTTCATTCATATCCAACAGGACGTTATTTCATCAGTTTTATAACATACACAACACCCCCAAACATGACAGTGAAAGGGTTACAAATAAACAGGATATTAAAAAAAAAAAAAGAACAGACGGGGTTGGGAGCACAGGTTTGAATGTGCATCACATTCATTGGCCATCACTGAACACAATGAACAGCATTTTTCCCTCAAAACTGCCTCTTTTTCATCACATCCACACTAATTCTGCAGCTTTGGACAGTACAGGGCAGTGCCCTTGCAGCATCTCACACTGGCATACAAAGGACTCCTTCAGCAAGCCACTCCAGTTAGACGAAGGCAGAGAAGGAAATTAAAGATAGGAACATCTCCTTTGAAATTATCAAATCCTATCAGAAACCTGAATTTATGCTCTGCTTTATGCTGTTTGAAGACAGACTGAAAAAGTTCATTCCATCAGTGATGGAGCAGGACAGAATGCTGGATACGCATGCACTGCAATACTGCAGGTTCAAAACAAAAAGCAAAAAAGTGGAAGGAAAATAAGGTAAAATAACTTTTGGTGAAGACTTGGTGGGTAGTCTTCAGCTCCACTTACCATGGCCTGTAGAGAGAGAGATTGAAAGCATACAAAGGAAGTAACACAAGTTAATGCCATTATTGCAAGGATTTAGGATACCAGCAGTTAGTAAGACACATATTAAGCTTCCCATGGGTAAGTTGGCAGAGAGAATTGCATGCATCTTTTCACAGGAATTACAGGATATGGAAACTTTGGTCTTTCAGCTGTTTCAGCATTTCTCCCAAGTATGCAATCGCTACGTGTACTGAACACAGCCAACAGAAAACCATTTGTCCCGCAGAAGCCTTATTTCACCATATCACACAAGCATATGAAACTTGTCCTCATTAGTTGCTTCGTTCTTATGCTTCCTTCAGTGCAGAAGCCTACTGGCAATATTGCAAATTACTTTAAAAATCCAAGCACATATGCTCATTTATCTATCCTCTGAAATTCCAACCTTCTGGTAAGTTGCCAAACCTCACATGGACATTGTAACTTTCCTCAAAGTATGTGATTTTTAGGAAAACATTTAAAAATAATGCAGACCTAAAAATAATCAAATATTCTGTGTAGAAAAAAAAAAAAGAAATATCTTAATTCTGCCAAATGAATGAAACTGTCTACGAAACCATAGCTCATCTGCATTGAGATTTTTTCAAGCACAACTCCTAACCCCTTATTGTAAGAATTAATTTAGCTAAATAGGAAACCTTCAGCTTCTTAAAGTGACAATGAATGTTACCGCATGTCAAAAAGTGAAGCCACTTGCACCAATAACTGTGTGTCTGAAGAAAAATCTCTTACCAGATCACTGACAAGTGGAATTGGCTTTTTTTTGCGTAAATCAGGCATGCTATCAATGCCATAGAGACCACCTGCAGGCCTGGAAATTCAGGAAGGGGAAAAAAAAAAAAAAGATTAAAAATCTCATCAGCAGTGATAGACAGTAAACAGATGATAAAAACCTTCCTTAAAACATCAGTGTCCTTGCTAATATCACAGTCAATGAGAAAAGGAAGAATCAGGCCATTGCAAATGCAACCAAAGCTGCGAACACACTAAAACCAGGTAATTTTTCCATTCTCAGAGGTGGGGGTCTGAGCTAGCTCAGAGTAGGCTGGGCACGCATTTGCACAGCACCCAGTGCTTCAGAGTCACTGCTGCCAGCACGATGGATGAAGGCAGCCTTACTCCTGACACTTCTATGGGGCACCTTTTTGGCAAAAATACTTACCTAACGCCAGAAGGAGAGCTCCCTGGCAGTAATTCACACACGGCTTAGTCTGTGGTAACTGAGCCACACATCCCTGTTTTCAGAAGTACCTTTTGCTCCTTAGGGAGAGCTCAGTTTATATTTTATTGTTGCCATTGAGTGTTGTGGCAGGAAAGACTTCGGAAACTTGAGAGCATCCTGTCTAATCTTTCTCCATCCCCTTTCTTTTGATTTAATTAATTTAGGGTTGGGGTATGTGGGGGATGCTTTACTGGAGGAAGAAAAATCAGCCAGGAGATTATACTTAAGAAAGTGTAAAGTTAATGCTAAAAACGATTAAGTGTTTATCTTCTTCACACACAACAATCCAGATGTTTCTGCCTGGTGTTGGTGGTTGGGAGGGAGCATGCCAAAGTGGATTGGCCCAGGGGCAGGATGCTGCTACTCATCATCTCATTCTAGCCTAGAACATACTTAATCCTGGCCCTCGAGGTCCATACAATTATTAGAGGAAAAACCTCACATCTGAGGAGAAAGGAGATGATTTTTTCTTTGGTGCTCAGGGTTCAAGTCATACAGACTTCTACACACAAGAGCTGCCATTCACCAGTGGAGCTGGCGATAGAGCAAAAGGGACATTATCCCACAACACTTGGAGTCTGCAGAAATAAAACGTGTCAGCCTCTTCCTTCCTGATGAAACCAGGCTGAATAATTTCTATCTGGATCCTGCCGTGCACTGGTAACACCACAGGGATATATGTCTGTGCTTGAAGGAGGTCTGTTAATTCAGCTTGAAGGACCCACGTGAATCAACTGCATATGTCTAAAGTCCTTAAGATGATGCTTTTTGCTATGGTTCGGAACTGAGCACACATTTCTCTGCTGTTGTGCCTATCATATTCTCCCCAAACTGAAGAACACATTTGTGATGTGATTCTCTCCCTGCAATGGACACCCAGCTGCCAACCAAAACCCACAGCCCCTCTCAGGGTCTCACTTAACTTCCCCATCTCCACGCTGTTCTCATGCCTTGGTAACGCTAAGAATATGGTTCCCAAGGCCATTTTCCTGGCTACAGAGACTGTACAGGAAACTTCTGCCTCTCTACCCTTGGCCATTCATTTTCACCTCATATCATGCTGGCTTACACCCTTTTTGCAGTTGCATGATAAACTGACTGGCACTTTTAATCCGCATATTTTGCTGATTTGGTACACTGTACCCAGCTGAAATGCTTTCGGACACCACAACTGCAGGAAAGAGGAGCATGGCTCAAACTGCACTAAAAGACACATGTCTAGGGAACCAAATTAGCACTACAAATTTGCATGTGATGAAAACTGGTGACAGGAGGCAACTTGCACCTCTCGGCAAGCAGGACCTACTCAAATTCCCATTCAATACAGCCAAAAGTAAAAAAAAAAAACCAACCCAATCAAAACCAAAACCCAACCAAACATCCAGGAAACAACAATGACCACACCTATGTTATAGCAGCCCATGCTCTAGAATGGACAAGGACATCATAGCACAGCCTAGCACAGGGCTGTGTCAAAGAGGGAAGCAGTCTATTACATACAGAAGCATGCCATAGCACTGTAATGGAAACATTGACTTTTTTGACAGGGCGTAGGAGGGCGACACGTCCGAGCCACAGCTGAGCTGACAGCTGCTGCTGGCTGAACAAGCCTGGTGGGAAGGTGAACATCCACGTGTAACTGCACAAACTGTGTGAGTCACACTTGCACAGGAGCACCACGCACAGCTCTCTGTGCTCCTACGCGATGAGCACAAGCCACCTGCAGTCAGCTGCGACAGCTAGACCTCACAGCTGGGGAACGAAGACAAACATGGACATGAGAAAGTTGAAGATTTACAGCAGTTAATTAAAACTATTGGAATATTTGGCCAAGAACAAGAACAGTTTTCTAATGCTGGAAATCCTTACAGTGAGGCTATGGGGTGCTTTTACTAGAGCCTACCCTCATTTCCAATAGAGAATTCCAGAAAAACTTTTTGCCTGAGTTACACTGCAATAATCCCTTCCGGCTTATAGAAAAATCTGACCTACATCAAGAAATAAGAAATATCTGCATAAAGTGTTTATATTGTCAGAACAGTTTTGCTGGCATCAAACATGGAATTTCGTCTGCTGCACTAATGTTACAAACCCCTTCCAATACTAAAGAAACTGTTCTGAGGTAAAATAGGTGTCATAGAAGACTACCCAGCTGCTGCCAAGAATTCCAGTGCTATTTAAATTACAGTATAGCTTATTGGTAAGTTTTGGGTCAAATCACTTGAATTATGAAAACATATGCAAAATAGAAAGGGAGAGTCTGTAAGCTGAAAAGATGCAACGAAATGGTCACAAGTAAAAATCCAGAGTCAGTGCTCCTCCTAAAAGTAAATAGCACAGCAGGGAATTTATACTTCTTTTCTACACAATTTCCAAGGACTATTTTTTTCTCATTCAATTGAAAGGGAACTGTGATACTCTGACATTTCCCAGGAAAGAAAAACATTAAAATTGCATGTTTTATAAATTCAAGATGAGCCGAAGCAAGTTATTGTGCTTGAGAAACATGCCTAGTTACAACCTGTTTTTTGCAAAATATTTACGATAGACTGAAGTTTATGATAGAACCAGTTGTGAGCCAGACTGACAGAGAACAAGACTATTTGAATAAATGCTTGGTTTTGCCACTGAAGACAGGTATTGTAGTACCTAGATAGTTATATACTTAGATGACCTGCTTTTAGCTTGTTAATATTTAAAAAAAAATCAGCAACAATTTTTCATTTTCAAAATTAACCAGCTTATTGTGCTTTCAGGTACCTCAGCCTCTTTATTCAAACACAATCTCTAGTTCACTTTACAAAATCAGTGTTTGCACAGACAGAAATACTGACAGTGCCTCAGATAAGCACATTGTAGCTTTATATGTAATAGGGTAACTCTCCTCTGCAAAGCATGTAATATTTATAACGTTATTATGGAGTGCTGTATTGAGGAGTGAATAGCATTTCTGTGTGAGAAGATGATTTGCACCAATAAATAAAATATAGAGAGATATTACACCCAGACACTGATCCGTAATACCAATTGTACTTTTTTTTGAAGCTATCTCTCCAAAGTCAGTGATTGCAGACAGGGAGCTACTTTTAGCATTATGCTGAAAGTGCAAATAGCTTGAAGCAAGTATTCATCTTCTAATACAAGTTTTATCACACAGATGCTTACATTAAATCTTGAAAATTTAAGCAAAGATGACAGAAGATTATTATTTCCTTCAAAGGACACGACTTCTCTAATCTACACATGAAAGGAACTCTAAAAATAAGTGCTTTAATAGACTTTGTGGCTAATAAGCCACAAGGTGGCTAACTGTGGAATTAAAGGTTCACCACCCACAACAACTTTTTCTAGAAATCTCTTGCATGTGGGGGTACAGTGAATAAACCAAACTTTTTTCAAAACTACATTAGTCTGTTTTGTTATAGCTCACATAAAAAGAGAAAAAAATTGCAAACTAGAGCAAACATTGCCTTAAATTGACAAAAACCATTTTTAAGTATTTCAGGACTGTAGGTGTATTCATTTTTAAGGCTGGGAAATCATTGTGTGTGCATGAACCAATAAACTCAGTACATTGTCTCCTCGTTAAAGCAGGAGAAGGTGCAGTTTATAGTTAGAATAAATCACTGTCTTTTTCTCCTGTTAATTGCCAGTTCTCCAGCAGCCTGCTCAGCGAAATCCCGGGCTCCTTAGGAAAGTGCGGGGTTGCTAGGCAGCTCCAGGCATCCGCAGGTGTGGAGGACACTTTGCAGGAATACCAACATCACAGAAGAATGACTCCAAGAGCAGAAAGCCGTATAACAAAGCCTCCAATTTAACTTTGTGTTTTATTAGGGAAGCATCCTTCAGTAGTATGAGAATTAACTTAATGCATGTAGCAAGCCAACTCTTGCTGAGACTTCAGGTAAATCTGCTGCTACATTGGCTCCTAATGAGTGCACCACCACCAAACTGTATTGCCCTAATCGCATACAAGGCACACAACCTAGCAGCTTGTAAAATGTGTCATTGTCTTTTTTTTTTTCCCCAGAGAGGCTTCTAGGGAAGCTACCATGTTGGCACCTATTATGCAGAGTATCATGCTGAAATTACAATCAGAATTTGTCTGCTTCATTTGCTGTGAGAAGCATGTCACAGAGACAAGGCACAGCCTCTCACTCTCACCTGTGCAAAAGAGGCATGATGATCACTGCTTTAAAAATCACAAACTGCAATGATTTCCAGAGTTACTGCAGTTTTGACTACCACAGTGACCATAGAAATCATTGCAAAGACAGAACACTTCCCCAAAGCTACTTTTTTTTTCTTCAAAGAGCAAAAAACACAGCAATCTTTTCCTTTCTTGGTGACATGAGTGACTGATAAAGAAAAAAGGATCTCATCCAGACCACTCTGTGGTGCTCGGCAAGGATTACTTAATACTACTGCCATAAGCACTTGCTGCCGTCACGTTACAGATTATCTATTGCAAACTATAACCTTGTTCTTAACCACAGATGTCTTGAAGAGCTGCACAGACCACTTCCAGCTGTCTAAGAGGAGACTCAGCAGCAGCCTGGCCCTAAGTGAGGCACGGCCACTTGATTATTCCTGAAAACAGCCATTAAAAACATCAGAAGTGCTACTTCTACTTAAGAGGAACTGCAGACCTCAAAGTATACTGTAATTATAAACACAGGGAAACAAGGTCTCAAAATACCACTTACCCTCCTTTGAGCCAAGGTGGTTTTGATGGATCAGCCTCATCTTGACCCTTAAGTGGGGGAAGGAAAAAGACCAATATGAAATTAGTTTCCAAAAATGTCAGAAAAAGTGTTCAGATTATAGTCTGAGGAAAGGGTAACAGATCACACTGCATGAAGCAAATGCATACGGAAACTTATTCAAGCACCTCCAATGACCAACATGTCAGGACAAGTCATACGAACACAGACAGGCTATGCAATTTCATTGAACACCTAGAGCCAGGACCAGAAGAGACTGTTCAGTGCACATCCTCTTTCAAAAGGCAGTCTTGAAGACCAACTTTTTTATTTTCTTTTTCCAACCCAACAAAAGCATGTGTTATCAGAGAGCTCTGTTACCACAGGTCACCATTTACATGAACATGGTCATAATGAGGATGCTAAAAATTAAAAGCACTTGTATGGAATGCACAAATGAGTGATCAACATGAAACTTTGTACAAACACTTGTGAGCTTTGTTAATGCTCAAATGCAAAGACCTCCCTAAGCAGAGAGGTCCCATTGCAGCTCCACCCATTCATATACAAGTATTTCATTTCCAACAGGTGTCAAACAAGGGCCATCACTTGCAAGGTGATTGCAGGTGAACTGGGATCTCATGGTACAATGCAAAACACCACAGACTGTAATACGAGGATTCATATTCATGAATTAAAACCATGTTCTTATGTTTGTATTAGGAGTGTATTTATAGAGCGATGTTTTGTTTCTTTGAAATTCTTCAGTGGACTGATTTGAGCTGAGGAGTGTTTAAACACTTGCAACATACGTGGCAGAAAGAGAAAGTTTCTAGATAAGGGGAAAACGGTTTACCTATAACTGGTTCCAGCTTAAAGTTCATACATTCTCTTGCACGCCTTGAAAGAAAAGCTGGTTTCAAACAGGAGTAAGCAGGACACACAGCTAATAGCTCACATCCCAACCTCAGATAATCATGTCTGCCAAGAGCATAAAGAAGCTGTAATGTGCACACAGTGGAAAACAAATTATTTCCAGCCATGGGACTCGCGACCTGAGAATCATCACAAAGTAAGTGATTATCTGCCAGGAAATAAGCTCCAGTTTTATGCAAGATAAGAGAATACAGCCCCAAAAGAAATATTTTTTGTTGTTGCTGTTCTGTGCTTTGGATGAGCTGTGCAACCTCAGGTTGTTCATGGGTAACAGACAAGGTCTCCCATGAAGATCAGAAATAACCAAGGAAAAAATGTTTCTATTTGAGGTCTCAACTTGTACAGCAGCAAAAGTCCAAACTTCTTATTTGTTGTTCCTACAACTCAAGAGGTAGGCAGAGCTAAAGACTACATAATATTTATTATTTCATTTTTAAACAGGCATGAAGAACGTGACATTATCCATAATTGAATGGACACTCCAGCTTTTCTACATAATCACAGAGGTCTGCAGAACAGGCAGGAGCTCAGACCCATGCTCCAGCACTTTTCCCCCACAGCCGGAGCAACAGCCCAGGATCCAGGGTTCTGCAGGAAGGATCATGCTCTACACATCTCCGTTGAGAGCTGTGCTTCCAAAACCCCTCAGCCTGAAACCTGCATTTCCTTGGAGGGATCTGAACCAAATGCTGGTCAAGAGAGTAGACTTCATGAAACAAATGCAGCCAGATCCTCCAGAGCATGCAAGGGAGGATGTCTCTACCTTTGCCTTTGAATGCTTAGAAGAGCTGTGGCCAGAAAGCAATCTTAAAACAGAATGTTTTATACCGGATTGAGTGTGATACAGGTTGGTTCAGCTGTACTGAATGACAGAAAATGGCAAACACAAATGTAGCAACATTTACTGGTAAAAGGAATCGGTGCAACAGGTTTTTCAATCAATTTACCAAAGTACTCTATATACAAGTGGCCAATATTTGAGACATTAACAGATCACAAATAGCACAGCCAATACTGCAGCCTGGAGACCGCAAGAGTATCAAGAACTCTTTACAGGAGATGATGACCCCGGAAAAGCTGTTTTCTAACTGGGCAATACTCATTTCCTACAGGCCGCCATGAGTCAGCAGAGAACACCCAGGAGCATGGATGCAGGGAAGGGCAGAAAGCGTGATCAGGAAACAAACCTCCATCATCTCCCAGATTTTGAGACATGCCAAGTAAAAATTGCCAAGAGTCTAGATAAACTGTATTTCTGTTCATTAATTTTAATTACTTTTGCCAAGCCTTTTAGACATGCATATAAAAAGAAAAGAAGAGGAAGAGCTTCTCTAGGGTCGAGATAAATAATCATCATGGTACAACAGCACAAAACAAAAGAGCTTTCAGTAAGTGACAATATTGATGTAGGGGCAAGGCAGGTGATGGCTGTGTGGAAAGAGGAGTCATCACCTGCTAAAAGCAAAGTAAAAAGCTAATTTGCTCCAGGCAGCATTCTCTCTGAGAAAATGCTGAGAGAATCAGCACCTGACATCCATCAAAACGGGGCTGACGCCTTAACACTGTGGGACAGCCAGTGCAATACCCACCGTTAAGGTACGTGAGGGAAAGCGGAAAATGTGACCTAGACTAGCATAGGCTCATTATTGGCTTCAACAGCTTGAAAGGCTTCAGAGCAAACATGAAGGAAAGAATTAACATGGAGGCAACTGGAAAACAGGAAAAAGTATTATATAGGGTACACCACGTTTTGAAAGCATTTTTAGTTTGACATAGCAACCATTTTTCTTTAGGCTGTACAATGAATTATCAACCGAATTTTCATTTCAACAAAAAACTTCTGATGCAATGCCATGTGACGTCAATAAGGCCGGATAAGCTGAGAAGGAGTAGGGAGCTTTAAGGTGGGTAAACAAGTAACTGTCATCGAGCCAGCCATACGCAACGCAGTAAGGAAGCTAGTGGGAGTAAGTAGGATCTGCTGATAAAATCTACCGATGACAAACACCAGAGAATTATTGAAACAGAACTCAGATGTCCAATGGAAAGAACTGATGGCAGTGAAGATTGCAACGACCGGGGATTAAACATGGTACAAACGGCAAGGTCAGAGCCCTGAAGCTTGCTGTGAATTTGACAGCACACAAGGTGTTCCTTGGTGGAGAACAGCACGTGACAACGGACTTGAGTTCTAGTCATCCCACTGGCCATGAGCCACCACCATACACCATGTAAGGAGAGAGCACCATCTATAGAGTTTGTCCAGTGAAATGTCTCCATAGAAATAAAAGCATAAATACCACTGCACTGTGCTGGCAAAACTCCTTCAGAAAGGCAAATACAATCTTTTTATTCTGTGTCAAAGTAAAAAGGATTCACACAGGAAAATGGCAAAAGCAGCATGAGGATGTAAACACAATTCTATAGGAGGAGAACAGGGCAGCTTGCTTAGTCTAGCAAAAAGAACCTTTTTCTGTGCTTATTAAATAGACAGGAGAGCATACTGCATGGAAGAACTGCAGCTAAATACAAATGGAGGATGAAAATTAGGTGTCTAACCATGACAGTTCTGTAGTAGCCTTTCAAAAGGAGAAGCAGACACCAACCTAACCAGTTTTAAAGAAGGAAATTGGGCAGTTTATATACGAAGTAATGGCACAATACCACACAGTGGCAGAGGCCTGGCAGTCACCAAGAAGTCCTCTGCATTCCCTCATTGCACTGACATATGTAGTCGAAGAACCAGAGGCTGTGTTACCTATAAGAGTTAGGCATGAGGGTTAATAGGGTCCAGACACCTCTGGGACTGCCAGTTAAAGTATTCCACAGTTTACACCACTGTTGTGGGTAGGAACACTTCACAGGCTCCTCTACATTTAAAGAAGGCAAATGGCAATGGTGTAGATGGATTTGCTGCAGCTGGGGAGTCTCCCACCCTCTGAAGGCAGCACTCGCACCAGGATGCAGGAGGGCTCCAGTAGCTGCTCTGGGTCTTGTCACCAGCCGTGGATCCGCTGGAGTTCAGCCCACGACAACAGCCTGGCTCGCCTGGAGCCCGGGCAAGCAGAAGAAATGATGGGCAGATGAGAAGAACACTGGAACAAGTGAGAGGGGTTTTAGCACTGTCCTTCCTGAAATAAATGGGTGGGCAAAGGGAAAGTAGACACACTTAACTCCTAGACGTGCACGTGCTGCAAAGTCTTTTCCTGGTTTAAGCCTCACTTCTCTACACAGCTCTGTCAATTGATCTCTCCTTAAAAGCAGCCAGACTAGTCTGAATCTGAAATTTTTATTATTTTTTTTAAATCTCCAGTAAGGACATAAAGCAGTACTGAAAAGATGGGGAAGCAAAGATGTAAACAAAACAGCCCATCACATCTCTATTTTTTTTTTTTTTTATTTCTGATGCTGAGGGATGACAGTTTTATACCTACTGTCCAGCAAATATCAGCCAGAGAAGTGCCTGTCACCTCTAGTAATGCAGTATATTCACTCACAGTAAAACGTGCTGCAATCAGTTGCTGAAAGGTCTTCTCCAAGTAATTAAAGTTTCTTATCAACCAAGAACCAGTTAGCAACATAATGCCAGTGAGAGACTAGCATAAATTTAATACCTTGGATTAAACAAGTCAACAGACATGATCATTTAAGGCACAGTATTTAGTCACAGGGACAGCAATATTTAGTGAAGCCTAAAAAGGAAACTAATAGGAGTTTTGATTATTTAGGAAAAGCAGCAGCTAGGCTTACAAGTAATTTCAGAAGTTATTTAACCAAGCTGCAATTTCTAAATTTTGCAGTTTCACCTCATACACAAGAAGATGTTTTAATGGACAGAACAAACAATTACACACTTCTGTAGATGAGAAAGTCCATAAAATGGACAGAGACACATTAAAAAAAAAAAATCACAAAGTTGGGAGCAGCACAAGGAAAAGGAATAACATCCCCAGATTTGTTATCCTTCTCCATATAAATCCATCTCTCCACATAAAAGGCTTTCTAACAATGTAACTTTCCATCACATTTAAGTACTGTGTTTAGCACATTATCCTCTTAGATAAAAAACAGATGTAAAACATGGAAAGCTGCTTTATTTAAACAGATAACAAAA